TCCGACAAGGAACTAGATATTATTGTATCTAAGAGAATCGAAGAAGAATTGCAAGCGGCGACTAAGAATAAATCCAATTTACTAATTTTTTTTTCTAAGGTGAGTGACGAAATCATTTTAGGAAATATTAGAAATCGCCAAAAAGTTTCTCTTTACTGATTAGAAAATATTATGGCCTATCTCAAAGTATAGAGGTAATTTTCATTATATTATAGATTTATTTCTTATGATTGATTCCGTCAATTGGTCACAAAGTACAGGATGTTAGTTTTATACATATATACAGAAAACTAACACCCTGTATTTTGTGACCGGAAGGAATTGCTTGTTTAAACATATTAGATTTACAGCCATAGGGTTTTGCATTTACCATATATATTGCCATACTTTGTATTTATGTAGTTTAATAGGAGAATCTTTATCAGAAGCCATAGAAAGTTTTTATTTTTAGGCAACCTGTAAACCTGCAGAAAAAACACAAATTATACAGTCAGCTTCGAATATTAAAAAAGAGGAAGAAGATAAAATAAAACCCGGTAATGAATTGTAATAAATCTGCTTACGTAATACTTGAACGGCCCCATACCAGGAAGAATTTCCCTCATCTTGTTTTTCAAAGAGTTAAGGAGTATTGAGAATTCTGGGAGTACATTCGTATGCCTTATATGTAAATACATGCAATCACAGCTTGCATTCCTCCATAGGTGGTGTTGTTGATGACGTTTACAGTGCTTATAACGAGCAAGAGGACAACTAGTAGCTACCTAATCAGCAAGTTCACATTTTGTTGTTTTTTTGGCATGTTTATGGCTAGTTTTTTACGTGATAACCCTACAGACGGAATATCACTAGACTTTTGGATCATGCAACAAACAAATGTCACAATGAAACAATATTGAGCTTGGGGACCGACGAAAACATTTCGGAGATGGCGGCGTCTCTACCACAACAGGAGTGATTAAACGGAAAATTCTTTGCAAGCCACAGAGGAAAACTTCAGGGGAATCTTTAAGATTTGTCTAATGTTTACAATCTTTCCACTGTCATAACAAATACTAGTACTGCAAGATTTATGGATGAAGTTTAGAGCTGATTCTACAGACTATGGTGTTACCTAAAACTAAGGAACATCCCAAAGAGCATAGAACATCTTGAGACGTCCATTTTATGTACTAATAATGTCTGAACAACGGTCAAGGAATATTCAAGTGTACCAATTCGTACGATTTTGTCAAGAGAGTTTTAACTTCCATTATAACAAATTCAATAGCACTTACATATGAACGTATTATACAGACGTCTTCAAGACGTACGACTCTGATATCTCTAAATGATAACTTTATAACATCTTTAAGATATAGTTATGCTATTTGGAATTAACCTCGATTCCAGACCCCGCTTTCCCAACTCCCCTACAACTGAGCCTTCGCGCTCTGTCAAAAAACAGTCATCCTCTGTGAGCATCTCCGTGGACATCAAAACAGAACTTTTCTCATCACCGGTTCTCTCCCTTGCAGGCTTATCGCGCGCTATCCGCCCAGGACGCAAAGCCAAGTGGCCCTTGCAACCCTGCTGTGTTTACAATAAGGGCCGCTACTCTGCCTCCACGCCGTGCTTTGCCCTGTCGAACACTTTTTAATTACAACGCGGCCAAGTGTACCGTAAACACACTCTTGCCTCTCTTGCGACGAGATATTAGATTAATTAGTGCTCGTACTTCCTCTTTGTACTTCGTAGCACCCGGAGAGGAACGTGTGTAGAGTTGTTGCCGGGTTCTTTGCTTGATTAGTTTGAACGTAAGTGTTTATATAGGTATATAGTGGACATCGAGATTGTCGTAACTAGCTAGGAGATAGCATCCTTGATATTTCTATGCGGACTCGAAAAAATTGCAGTCTACTCTTTTAACTTAAAACTCGAGCTTTCGATAGTTTATGCTGCCATCATCAGGAGCTAAAAAAAATAGCAACCGCAAACAATTAAGTCATATTCCATTACTCGCTAAGTCGGTGGGATTGTTGCTGAATTGTTCCTAGAAGAATGTGTATGAGACCACATGGTAAAACGATAAAAAAACTGGATGTTTGAGTGAAATGCGAAAGGCTTTCGCGGCCATCATCAGCATCAGCTACAGTAGCTCACAGGACTCCGAACTATGAATACCTTCTGACGATGCCAACCACTCGTGATGGCGAAACGTCAAATAAAAATATTTTACGACGGCTTAACTACCCAAAAAAAACCAAATACACGTAGCTATGTTTTTTCAAAAGCTACTAACAGATTTAGCTTGTAGCTATGTATATTCATATAGCTGTATATATAGCTTCAAGATATTGACGTCAGTTTCAGCATCGAAGGCCGAAGGTACAGGAATGAATCTTTTTAAATACAATCGGCGGCCTAGGTAGGTTCTGTAATATCGACTTAAATTCGGTGTTCATATACTGCAAACTTAAAAAACCTTCAAACCGACTCTTTCTTAACTATTTTGAAGCGCTTTTTCCGAAACTGCTTTGGGACATTTCCAATTTTGGCTCTAAATTGATGAAGTTGTAAACTAGTATATTATTGTTGATTATTTGTTTATATATTGTTATTCTTATCTATACATTTCTTTATTGTGTTTAATTGATATTTCCTGCAATTGGGTTTGTCTGCGTGTTGGAAATAAACTTATTTCCTCTGGTCCATATCATCCTTTGCTAATGTCCCTTTCATCAGCTTCGATATGTTCATTGATCATACTGCCAGCAACAAAGCCGTTCTGGTTATAGAACGATTGTCCGTTAGCTTCAGTCGTAACATGAAAACAAAAGCCCTTTTGTTGAAACAACGTCGGTCCGCTTAGAAAAAAGACCATCATATACTCGCGCGGCGCCCTAATTGGCTGAAAGCTGAACGTGTTACTTTAACCCTTCTCCCACGAAAACGATCCATCAATACATTGGTTCCAGGCAGACCAATTAATTACCCCCACCTCACCCCCGCACCCCCTCCCGACCCCGAAGCGAACAAAACCTGCACATCATTCTGCACTAACATACGATCAGACTCAGCCATTTACCTCCTGGTAGGGTTTTATCTTGGTTGTACGGGGCTCCGTCGAAAAATGAAGTCAAGTTCGTTGATTCTGCGTTCATCAGTTCATGAGGCACAACTTAAAATGAAGATATGTAATAAATGTATTAACAAAACGTCGCGCAATAAATGTATAATAAGATGGGACAGGTACTGACTTTTTAGCCCAGGAAGGTCTGGTCCCACGAGTGATCCTAGGCCAGAAATCCCCCCAACGGCGGAGAAAAAATACTTCTCAGCGGGTTTAAGGTATCTATCCACCTACATGGCGCCTATGTTTTGCGTGCAAAGCGTTACATGGTGGTCACTTGTGCTACTATTATCGATAATTTTGAGCTTGTTTTTTAAGAATTGCTTCAAGTTTTATAAATTTAGAGTCGCATTTATAATCGTTTTTTGATTTCTAATGAAGGAAGGAAGGATTTTGCATTGGTTTCGCAGCAGGCTACAACAGTTGTCATCACAGGCTGTCGTCGATTTCAGAAAGATTTTTCAAGGGACATGTTTTGTACGGTTTGTTCTTTGTACTAAAAAAATATTTAATAACGCAAAATATACAGGGTGTTTTCGAAGTGGGGTAATTCATTTTAACTGCTTGTAGGATTCGTCAAAAGTAGTTGATATATCAAAAATCAACTACATAAAAAATGCATAATAAAAGAAATGTAAAATATTAAAAAGCTTAAGAATTGAGAATGTTATTACACAGATTTTTTGATACTCTCGACCACTGCCGTATAAAATCTTGGCGTTTTTGTTTACTACTCTTACCTTTTATCTAAATTTGGCAAATTTTTTGTGTTATTAGCTGCTGAGGTAATATAATTTAGTTGCGTATCAAGAGTTATTATAATCAGTCATCATTATTGACAGTGTTACACGAGAGAAATGAGGTTACAGCTCTTGCTTGCAATCTAAGGGATTTTTTTTAACCAAAAGCCCAAATCGTACACTAATGGTCCTGACAAAATCTACGTCTTTTTGATGTCATTGCCCTACATTGAAAATAGTACCTAGTACAGTGTCAATCGACTTAAAGCTATTTTTTTTTAAATCTCCACGGGGAGTTCATTCCTCAAGCGACACTCAATCCTCCGGTAAGATCCATGAATATGACCCTAATTTACTACTTTAACCTATCTGTTCTATTTTTTCCACACTTCTTGACCTCGCCCGGTATCCGTCGACATCCGAGCAAAATCCACATACACACACACGCTTCCTTCTTTGCACTGACCGTTTTCACCCCTGACATTCGTCGGCGGAGGCGACTTTCCGCAGGGGCAGCAATTAGCCCTTTTCGGCCGTACGCGGCGAGGCACAAGGCTAAGTAGAAAACCATGTTTCGACCGCGTGCTCGCGTGAGTGATGCCTGACGGCTGCTGACAGCAATCGGCCAGTAGAAGTCCACCGCCAGATGCCGAGGACTGCTTGATGATGGCCAAGGTGCACGGATTTGCTAATACATGAGGTACCAGTGTCTCGGGAGCCTGTACAGAGCTTTTTAAAAGCGTTTCAATCTACTTATCTTTTTTCCACTGTAACTATCGCGACGGCCTTTGTACGGTATAAACATACCTACGCGGCTCTGGATAAAAACATCCAGGAAAACGATCTGAATACGCTCGCGAAGTATCAATAGCATTTTCAAGGCAGCCAGCGTAAGCTAACATCACATTGACAACTCCTTTATAGCTATAGGAAGGTGCTAATTTATTTCTTTCAAATCCGATCTATAAATAAACTAAACCTACACACGTCACTATGCCTAATTTGAATACAGACACTCTGCTAGCCCTTAAACAACTAGAGACGAACTCTGGACCATACTGATGAATATTTATCTGTTGGAAGGATGTATTTACGACATAATATGAAACATTCCTCAATTTAATTTATAAAAAATTAGTGATTTACAGAACGTTTAGAACTCGGAGAGAGAGAAGCTAAAATGTATTCCCATCAAGCAAGTAGCAGCAACAAAGCCTTCGGCAGGATACGAAGGACGAGAACGACATTGTCTGTTCGATCAGAAGCCACCCTTCCTTTCTTTGTTCTTTGCGACTGAATTAATTACTCCTCTTGATAATTGATATTAATTGTCCCTCCTTATTTTCGAGGCAGATAGCGCTTGTTAGCGATCCTCGACGTGGAAGTTATGCTCTCTGCCAGCAACGATAATAGTCTAAGGAGATAGATTGAGATTTGGGCAAACAATGTCTCGCTCATCATAGGAAGTGAACATTTAATACGGCGGATCCTAAATGCCCAAGTACCGTCACTGCTACAAATAAAGAGATGATGGGATGATCTCACCTTTATTATCATAATATTTTTTCTCCTAAACAAACAAAGTTTGTATAAGAATCGTCAATAGAGCAGCTACATGCAGATACCATGCGTAATAACCAAGGGTGTCCACAAGAACTTTTCAAAAACACGTTCGTCTAGGAAGGACTAAATCCTAAAAATCCCGAAAATTGTACACAAAGTCATGATAAATATGCAATTTTTAAGATCGAATGAGATTCCCAGTGGATGGGGGGGGGGATCACACTGAAAACTAACCTGTATATTTCGTGTTCGTAGTGAAAAAAAAAGTTTATATCTACATACCACGGTTTGAGAGTGCCATTATTGATAATCGCTTGCTTCTCAACTTAGGCATGTAATATACTATTCTTTCATAGGGAAGCCTAATTTTTCAGGAGTCTACCACAAATTACACTTTCTGAAACATGAGTGAAACAAGCCGAGCATCAAAATACGTCTGTATAGACCGAATGGTGATATAAGAGTGTGTGTTGGGAGGGTGTATGTCGCCGTGGGGTGCGATAATGGGTGCCATTTCCCGTGGGATTGAGCATTACCCAACACGTCGCCCCCTGGGGGCGAACCGTAATACTGCCGAGAAGTGTCTCTGAGAGTAGGCTCATTTTTAAGAAGTGCCTCTCCCCTGCTACGTGAGATACGTACCGATGTGAGAGACTGTGTTTTGTCGGAGTAATGGGTGCGTGATGAAGGGAAATCAACAAGAAAGATAAAGGAATTCTGAGACTAATGCATAAACTTGTTCAATTTCAGGTTTCAGTTGTAAGAGAACGATGATTCCAGCAATTTTATTTCCGTCCCCTCTGAATCAACTTTCAAGATCTACGACTACCTAAAGGGTGTATTCTTTATCTGAAGTCACTTGAAACACTGTGAAATACCGGGTGCGTTTTATATATCTATATTTAACACGCTCTGTTGCTGCAAAAATCGCCAAATTTCGCAGCAAATATCCCCCGTATAAGATCAAAGGCAGTTTCACTGGTCCACGTGGAGTAAAGCACGCCTATGCGAGGACATAGCCAATGAGAAAGCGTGTATTTCAGAGCTCCGAACAAGTGCAGGTGGCTACTGAAAATTGAAACAGTTTAGCCAGTGCCGTGTAGCGGTGAATAAACGTGTTTTCTTTAGTCTGTCCGTGTTTTTTCATAGATTTTATTAGTTTGTGTGTTTTTGACTTTTGAATACTCAGTTTACTTGTTGATTTAATTGTTGTGTTGATTGTTCTTGTGTGTCCTAAATATGGCTCTTTGGAGACCTTGGGAAAATGCTCCAAGCCACGAGGAGACGGTTGATGAACCTGTGCAGGCAGAATTCTTTCATAAAGATTTAGAGGAACAGACCCAAAGAGTAATCCTAAATATGTATGATTGTCTGAAAAACGAAAATCCAGATTCCTCGCAAAATCGAATTTTAAACAGAATTTGTATCCTGACAAAAATCAGTCGGTCTACCATTTATCGGGTTATAAAAAGGGGAGATGTAGTCAACCATTCCTTCCACAGAAAGCGCATAGGGCAAAAATTAAAAAGAATAGACATGGGTTTTCAGGAAGATATTCGTCGTATAATATACGGATTTTATAAAGAAAATTTGGTGCCCACGTTGGAAATGATACGGGATAAATTAAAAGATTATTATACAAATGCTTAGACTCACTGCACTGTATTGTAAAACTGTGTGGTTTTCAATACAAAAAATTAGATAAAAGAATGGTGATTATGGAGTCGTCTCGAATCGTTGAATTGCGCCAAGAATTTTTGTACAAAGTTAAAATCTATAGAGAGCAGAAAAGAAATCTGATTTACCTGGATGAAACGTGGTATGATACCCATGATGTTGTGCAGTACGGCTGGGTTGACGACAGCAACAAGTGCATTTTAAATGCACCATGCAACCGTGGAAAACGAATCATTATTCTCCATGCTGGCAGTGAAAATGGATTTATACCTAATGCCTTGCTGTTAGCTGCCAAAAATATCAAAGAATCATGTGCCGACTATCATGAGGACATGACCTTCGACTTATTTGAAAAGTAGATAGAGCAGCAGTTAATACCAAACATTTCCCCAAATTCAGTGATTATTATGGACAATGCGCCATACCATTCCCGACAGAAAAACAAAATTCCGAATACAGACACAAAAAAACAAGACATTATTGATTTTATGAAGGATAAGGGAATGGAAATACCACAAAAATCAACCAAAGCCATATTATTGGATCTTGCCTATGTCAAACGTTGGAATTCTGTAATTTTTCCATTTCTTAACTTTCAGTCAACATAAATTAAACTCCCAATATAAGTATTTTTTATCCAAAGTCAAAAAAATAAGAAGATAGTAAAATCCATTTATTCTGTTATAAAAAAATTATTATTATCGTTCTAAATAAATGACCGCACGCCTATGATACGTCATGAAATTACAAAGGACGCGCCGACCAAAGGTGTTTATGCTATTTCGAGTGACTTCAGATAAAGTATACCTATCAAGCTCGCAATAATATTCGAACTTCGATTCACAAGTTTTCTGTTGCATCACACAAGTCCGTGGTTCTCATTTATGTCGATTTTTCAGTCCGTGTCTGCTGTATAAGAGCGCGTCATAAATACATAAGTTTACGCAAAATGGGTGTTACATTTAAGAATCAGAAAAATCATAAAAATATACCTATGTGTATATTGCTAAAACATATAAATATTTCTTCTGTAGCGGTGTGTCAGTGACGTCACCACCACAGGCCAGGAGCTTCTTTGTTATTGATATCAATCTCTGAAATATTGACCATTCACCCTTTAAACACCCAAAACATTTACTATTTAATTTCGGATGCTGCCACCAGATGTCACATTTCCCCTAAGGGCTCTCAAATCGGTGTTGCGGTGTTTCTACCGAAATGAAATCTTATTTACCGAAACACCGAAAACGTCTATACAGATATTTCGTGATTTTTTTTACAAAAAAGAGCTGATTCCAAAAATAAAGCTACAAAAATAAATTCTATGCTGTCCATGTGGTTTTATGCCCCATCCCAACCACACATATGTATAGGCAACCGGGCTCGCCAGGATTGTTTGTAATTATGTTATACCCGTTTTACATCAACAATCTATTCAGACAGATTTTGGTGCGGCAACGCTGTCTCTAACGCCGTAAAGCCAAACGGTTCCTGCTCGCATCTCCGAACTTATCGCTTCGACCGAGTTCGAGACGTACAGCAGCAAACGACTACGAACAAGAAAAGTGGAGGAAAGAAAGCAGAGCGACGAGCAACAAAGATCGACGTAGTGAACTCGAGTCGGTGGAGCGTTCATACAGATCGGCTACAATGTTCGAACACGGGTGTCTCTTTTCTAGACTCTGCTCGGAACATGGAGGTCGAACGAGAGGGGGGCGGGTCGAGGCTCCGCCCAGAAAGAGGGGTATACGCCCCCCCTCCCGCACAAACACACCGAGAAATTGTGGATGCGGACGACATCTGGCGGTCACGCGGCGAGGTGAAAAGTTATAGTCCGGACTTTAGGGATACAGTGTTGCTTCTAGGAACAACGCGTCATATAAGTGTCTGTTTTATTTTTAGTCAAGATGGATGTTTCAATTTTAAGTACTACCCCACATAAACTCTCGCTCACTCAATAGATGTAGCGCTGACATGCCCTTTTTACGGCAACTTGATAATAACAATAAATTCCAGAAGAATTAGTTAAAAAAAAATTTAAGGGAAATCTTTGGCCTGAATTTTAGGTTAGGAACAAGATATCGAGATGCGGTCTTAGCGAGCTTGTTTAGACATGATTTAGCTACTTTTTCATAAAAAAAAACATACCAATGCATTACATTCTTTTAAGAAAATTAAGCATTTCTATTGGAGTGTCGAAAAAAGTCCTCTAACGGCCACATGTGAAACTAACAAAACTTAAAATATCATACTATTTGTAGCCTAAGAATAGCTCTTTTCAACTAGCAGAAGTTTTTTACGGAAATCTTCGAATACGCCCCACCACTTTATTTTTAGAGGTGCAGAAGTTCACATTATCCTCTTTAAAGGTCAGTTTTTTTTTGTTAGGTCAATATAGCGGAATTCACGCAGTACACCCCTGGCGGCTGTTTCAGAAACTTGAGAATATTTTCCAGGTTTTTCTCTTCACGGTTTTATAATAACTTTTTCTTCTTAGTTGGCCACCCTGGACATGTGTTCTAAAAATCTCAAATACTGTAGTTACTCTTTTTTTCACCAGGTCAGTAGGTCTTTATTAAATGACCCATACCTCTAATTGGGGCTGCCAGATGTCCTCCTTTCGGGAGAATGGTCTTCTTCTTACATCCTATGCTAAACCTTCAAGGAAGTATTATAGTCTCGATTCGATTTTTCAACGAAGGCGTAGGATGAATAGAGTCAATCTACTTGACGCGTCAATAGATATCCAAAAAGGGAATTCCACATAACACATTTTTATAAATAAAATTTCCTTTTTCTTTTTTTTTCCAGGTAAATCCTCCAAAACCAATGTGTGGAGTCATTTTACCTCTACGAATTTTGTCCTAGCCCGGCACTGTCTGCTAGACGGCCACCGCCACATTTTTATGTCGTTCTCGGGGTGTACGGTGACTAGAGTGTCGTTTCATTATTTTCAAACGCTGCTACTCCTGCAGATAAGATTGGATTGCGAAACGAGTCCAGGATAAGGCGGCACAGATTGTTTTTTGTTCGTCTTTTGTTTCCGTGGCAGGCTCCGTTTCTTTCGATCATTAGGTTTATAGGAGGCGGTGCGCAGTGTTTTGTTTCGGACGAGGATGTCGTCGCCTACTGCTACGACGATTTTATTTATAGGTGTCTTTTTTCCAGTTTACAAAGGGTGCTGCGGTTCGAGAAAAAAGGGAAAGGGAATAAATGGATAGCGATAGTGCTTGAAGAAAACCTTTTATCGGTAGGTAGAGGCAGCATTTCTAGAGTGGAAAGTGCAAAGAAAAATAGTACAAAAACTATATATAACATGAAAACCACAGGATAAGTGGAGTGTTGTATCATTTTTTGTCATCTACAATGTCAAAAAATCGTGATATGTTATAATTTCTTGAAGGGCAGTTCTTGTGAAATCAAATATCTCATTAAAAAATGAGAATATCAAAATATTTTAAATGCTCCAAAGATACAATTTACAAAAAAATTGTAAAAAATATGTACCTAATATGCGTGCTCAAACTGGAATAAATTATAACATCAAGCAATGACACGAATACAAAAGACTCTTTGCCAATATAGCCAGTAAAGGATATCTTTTTAATATTTTGTCACCCTGAATTTTTCATCTATTTTCACAGTTGACTATTCCGGCCATATTTCAATGGGTGGTAACATTTTTGCTTGCACGAATTTCGCACCTGATGGTATATGCAAAAACTTGTTTATCCGTAAAAACAGAAGAAAACTTATAATATTTCACACTTAGGCCAACTGTTTCCTTTCACATTTCTAATTCTTAAAACCCCCTTTCAAACGTGGTATAAAAGCATGAAGGAAACGCGGCGTGTACCTAAGTTAACAGAACATTTCTAAGTGATGTATACATGGGATTATCGACACCGGTATAAACACCATTTGGCCCTTTTGTTTGGCCATTTGCCGCCAGATAGAACACTCTGTTTGCCAACACTCTGTATATGTTTGTTTAGATGCGCTTAATGTGCGAGGCCCTTTTGTTGTAGGCCGATGATGATGCCCATTTATTTTCATACCTGATACCAACTGAAAATATGCCGTCTTTACAGCTGCGAAATTTCTTGTGCTTTATTTTTTCACTACAAATCAGAGAAATTACCAGCTTCGTGATTTTGACGTTTGCAGAGGCTATTGCTCGTTTTTGGGTTTTTTTGACTGGCAAATATTGTTGGTAGGGGAGAATGTATCTAATTTATTTCGCGGTGTGCTTCTACAGAGTGTCCCAACAAAAATGGAATTTTTTGTATGAGCACACTGGAAAACGTATCAAAAATATGATCAAATTCTCTATTTTGGAGGTTAAATAATTTGCTAAACTTTTTATGATCTTTCGGGAATGCTTGGAAAGCGCAGTCGACCTACTGGACACCATCTTTCATACTATATTTTAGTACGTGCTAACAGGTCTGATCCCCGCCTATGCGCATCTTAAAAATTCTCCAAAGCAGAGAGAATCCTCGTTCTCGGAATTCGACCGGTTATAGCCCGAATCCGTCGTCCACCAAAGAAAAGAAAAAAAAAGGCCAGAACGATAACGAAAGGACGGCAATGCGAGACAAGTCCGAGTTTTCGCTTGTATCCGCCGTCCCATCGGTCTTCACTTGTCCACATAAAAGAACATCGACCCGCGAAACCGGAAAAAATATTCCACTGTCTTCCATATTAGAAGTGCACGGTGTTGATGAAGCGTGTGGTAGGGCTCTGTGGAATTGTGAATCAGTTCAATTTTTCAACTATTCTCTAGGCGCTGAAGAAAGAAACTAAACCCAAACAAATACACGCATATTGCTCGTGAGTGAGTGTTTAGGCGCAGGAGACATTACAGGACCGCATCAAGATATTATGGGTAGTCATCAAAAATTTCATACAAGATAATAATTATTATCTTTTACAGTAAATTTCAGTTAGAGATTCACAAATGAGTTAACTACACTTTTTAGTTATTAGTAAGTAAGCTGCGCGCACTCATTCAGAAGAGGAACTTGAATCTTCTGAATCGTTTAAATGAATTATTAGAGGTTCAATTTGGGTATCGATGACATTGTCCAAATCCCACATTTTGACCTCAACCTTCTCCCGAACGTGGCGGATACAGTTTTTCCATTCCTCTGCCGTAACTCTATTGACTGCGATGTGAAAGAGATTTTTAACATCAGAAAATTTATAAGTATTATTATTCGACGCCACGTATTGCTTTATGTTGGCCCAAATCAGCTCAATAGGGTTCAGCTCACAATGATAGGGTGGCAGTCTCAAGACAGTTTTATTTTGTTTTTTGGCCATTTCGTCGATCATTTTAAAATCGTATTTGTATTTATGTCTATTGACTATACTTATCAATTCACCCTTGACCATTGTTTCATCAAAATCGATCTGTTTTGAGGCCAGCCATTGTTGTATGTTTGCTTTTTTAGTTGCCATTGTGGGAATTTTTTCTATTTTTCTAGAATGGTACGGGGCATTATCCAGTACAATAACAGCGTTATTCTCCAGCTTTAGTAACATTTTGGAGAACCAATTTTCAAAGGAATTGCCGTCCATCTCCTCATGATAGTCCCCTGTCTTTTTTGATTCAAAGGCCCACAGTGCTTCGGGAACAAAGCCGTCTTCACTACCTACGTGACAAATGATCAGCCGTTTGCCTTTTCCTGGAAATAAATTATTCCTTACACTATGGATTGATTAAATTTGAAGGAATGAGGCAATTGAGTTCATTTAGCTGAATTTAAGAGTCACGGAATGCTGATCAAAAACTGAAAAACGTAGAAAATTGAAGTTTGCAACTTCTCAAAACCCATTCAAAGCAAATTGACTGCAACTAAAAATGATAATAAATTTCAAAATAACGCTTAAAAGAGGGTCGAAGTTTTTTTCCTAATGACTACACTGCGAATGCACCATTTTTGGAGAATATCACACATTATCTGCTATCACAGCATATTATTTGCCCGAATTTATCAAAATTAAATTGCCGGATAGATGAAGGAGCTTACCTGCAGGATTTTTCAATCCAGCCGAAAGACCGTCTAGAAAAGCCTGCCTTGATGATGTTACTGATTTGTCGACCCAAACTTTCGCTTGAGTATGTCCAGCATTCACCCACGTTTCGTCCAAATAGTAAATTTTTCTTTTTTCATCGCGAAACTTCCGAATCTTCCTAAGGTATTCCCTTCTCCACACAACAATTTCTTATTTCTCTATTAACATACTGTTTCTTCCCCGTTTCAAGAATCGAAAATTAAGTTCCTTCAAAAGTTTTCGGAATGTGGTTCTTTTAAATGATGGAAGATCCTCATCAGCATTAACTAATCTTAATATCTTATCTAGTGTAGGTATCTCATTTCGGAAGAAAAAATTATGCACTTTCCTCCTGATGGCAGTTCTGTCAAAGTCATCTACTCCGTCCGTTATCCTTTTTCTTGCAGGATACGGTTTTGGCTCAGAAAGTGAGTGAGTGCTCCTATATTCCTTAATGATCCTATAAACACTGGACCGACATACTCCAGAAATATGTGCTACCTTACATATAACTTCGTCCACGACCAAATCGGGTTTTTCTTGAATTTGGTTTTTGTATATATTTAATAATATTTGTTTTTCATTTGCACTTAAATGTAGCTTCTTAGCCCTTTTTTTGGGTGGGGTTGCGCTGATGTCAACCACTTCGTCGGGTGTATCTGTGTCAGACATCGTATCTTAGGCAATATATAAACAAAACGTTCCACTCGCGAAAAACGAGTATACGCTACTGAATGCGTAATGCGTATGCAATGCAATCCTGTGCGTGAATTAACTGTTAGATGCCTGTCGTGTCATCTACAATCACGTTTACAAGTCCAAACCTGTGCAGATTCGTAGAGCGCCGACGACTGCTAGTGACCTTGAATTTGTCTGTAGATCGATGTTACTCCAGTCAATTTAGGTTCAAAGTGGATGTTTTCTAAACCAATTTGTTGTTCCTACATCAAAAATATATCGATGATGTTTTGTACTGGGAGCTCATGAAAGATCAAGGTAACTTATTTTAACAGTCATCCTTTTTCTAGTCTCAAGATGACACGAAAAAGGGTCTGTGGATTCACTAGAAATACACTGCCGAGGATGTTTAGACCTAAAGTGACTGGAGTATATCCGTGGATGCTTTCGAGGGATCTGTTCACGTACTGATCACTGTTTACGTTTAATGTCTTTCTTCAGCGCCCAGAGTATACTGTGGTTTCATCTGGCGTTCCGCAGGGGTCAGTTCCGGGACCTCTGCTATATTTACTTTATACCATTGATTTGATTTTTTCCAATACAAATGTATGCTGATGACACACAATTATTATTTCACCTTAAATATTCTCAGTTAAATCGAGCGTCGGTTAAAATTAATATTGATTTAATTAATATTACAGATTATTGAAAAAAGCACCGTCTCAAGATTAATCCTGAAAAGAGTTCAAGTATGCTATTTTCTGCTAAACGCATGCATGATAACATAAAGGACGCAACTTTATTGGTGGAACATGCTAAAAACCTTCTTATACTCTTCTTAACTGGAAATTTGATCATTTACCTGTCTCAAAAAACCTATAGCAAATTGAAAATCTTTTATTCCAACATGATCATTTTAGTCATTAAGGCCAGGAAAAAATTAGTTGAAAGCTTGATCCTGTCATGTTTAAATTATTATTTAATTTTGTTCTATTCTTATTTAGATTTGTCAGATCTTCAAATTATTCAAAGAATCACCCTGTATATATGCCCTTAGTCCTGTTATGATATAATAATAATAACCCCATCGAACTTAGTCCGGTCGTAAAATTAGTTCTCTGCTGACACGTCTTGCGCATAAAATACCTTTCTGCCTAATTTCATATTCATAGGTCAAATAAGTTTCTATAAACTTAAAAATAAGGTTCTTCATAGAAATAATAAACCTCCTCCTAATCCATCTTTAGGATATATTGTCTTAAGCCCTATGTTAATAATAATTATTTTTAAGATATCGTAAGTGTTTGATATCAGTGATAAAACCACATAGAGCAAACTAGCTACTAAGCTTATCAGCCACGATATAGCTCGCAAGCTGTATAAGTCTGTATATCCGCCTTATAGTTCATTCACTGAATCAAAGCAATTACATCACAATGTCAAATAATGACAGTAACGCACATGGTTGCCACATTAATAAAAACTACTAGATACTAGGACGTTTCGCAAAAT